TACGATAAAAAATGGAGGAAACCAGTTACTTAACTACTCGTAGAAATAGGATATTATGCTCAATCGACAAGTATTTTCGCCGATCTCTTTGAAAAAACAATTTCATATCTGTTTAGACACACCATTTTGCCTTAAATCATCTCTTTTTTTTTCGCAATTCGCTCATAAGCATCGCACTTACCGGGTCCGGTGAACCAAGTTGGTTGAAAGAAGACTTACAGAGAAGAACTGATGTGACAGCCAAGCAAGGTGAGAAGGAGCCGACAACTGAACCGACCAGATATATTTCCATAATCATTATCTTCAGGATAGCCACGATATCAGTCAGACCTAACTTCGGGGACGCTCACGTCTTCCCGAAGAGTGTACGTTTCTCAACCAGGCTCTGCTACAATCTCTAGGAAAGGCCTACACTCTGCTCCACAAATCACGGGATCACACCTGATCGAGCAAGTAAACTACGGTAGTAGAAGTCGGAATTAGGAATACATGATGTGGAAGATCAAGCCTATTCCTGAGTCCTGCATTATTTCCAATGCGGCGCGTAAGCAAAGGTTTTGGTCGTCTCGGTGTTCCTAGGGGGACATTAATGTGAGAGGGCCACTCATTAAACTCGGACAAAGCCTTAGAGAGCGGAAACGAGTTCCGGATAAATATGAGCAACCACTGCTCTCCCTGGTGTTTATTCCCAATTCTGAGCTTGGTCCTAGTGTCACTTACCAGCGGTTTTTGTAACGTCCCGTTTTGAATGTCCACCCTGACGACATGAGCGCCCTTGTCTCGATTGGGCTGTGGCAGTACTCTGGACGGGATGAAGAACGATGGGGTAACTTATGAACAAAAGTATTAGGTCGCAACGAAAGTAATGGCGGATTCGACCCTCGATTTCAAAAGCTCATATTTTTCTTTGAATTGAATTACTTTATTCCGAATAATAATTCCCACAAGTACCTACAACAGGCCGCCATCGGTCTACAAGGGAACAAGTGCCCACCTTCAAAATTCGGCAGGTTTCGAGTCGAAGAAGTGCCCATGTCCGCTTTCAACTGTTGACAGTTGTCGTACTTTTTACCCTTTGCGAAGTGAGCCAGGAAAAGGAGCGGGTGGTAATCCGTAGGCGCAAGACCTGGCGAATATGGAGGATGGGGTAAAACCGCAGATCCAAGTTCCGCCAATGTGTCCTGGGTTACCCTTCCAGCATGTGGTCGCGCGTTGTCATGAAGAAGAGGGACTTCGTCCAGCTTCGGGCGACGTTTCGCGAATTCAGCCGCGAGCCTTCGTGGTTGTGAGCAGTACACCTCAGCGTCGACGGTGGTATTGTCTGGCATCTCGTAATGATGTGTTCCCCGAACACTCCACCAAACTGACAGAGGAACTTTCTTGGGATGAACCTCCTGCTTTGGAACAGGCTCTGGCTTCTGATTCGCACCCATCCACTGTCTTTCTCTGGCATGACGGACGTAGAGCTCCCACCTTTCATCTCCAGTAATTACATTATCCAGCCAGTCGAAACGGCGACTCCTTGCAAGAAAACCTCTGCACACCCCGATACCTCTTTCCTTGCAATGCTCTGTCAGCTCATGAGGGATCAATCGACCAAGTTTCTCAACTTTTTCCAGCATGTGATGAACACGACCTGTGGCCATGTTGAAGCAGTGCATCTCCTTTGCCAGCTCCATGGCGCTTGCATGCGGAAAGTCTTGAAGTAACAGCTCCAAACGTTCGAAATTAACTTTCGTTGGGCGTCCATCTTCGAGGTTGTAGTTTCCTTCGCGGAGCCTTCTGAACCAAAGTTGGCAGGTTTTTTCACTTACCACTCCCCCTACTTCCACAGAGCATATTTTGCGGCAGGCTTCGCTCGCTGTGTGTCCCATACAAAATTCGCAAAGAAGTCAGTGGCGTACATGGGTAGAAACTTATGGCATTTTCCAGGCTCCAAAAAGCTGCAGGAGGTGAGACTCGAGAATAAGGATAAAGGATAAAGCATTTGCCGTTGATCAATCCCTTTTTGGGATGCGGCACGCATTCTACTTCCATTTGTACATTCGCAGTGGCGTTTGAATGCGATGTGGCCTATACAATGACTTGCGGGGGCCAGCCGATGTACAAGTCAGTGTTTTTATCCTCCCAGACAAGTCTGGTGTTGGACTCTAGTGATCACAATTGCCACATTCATGTTGGGCAAGAATGCAAAATTTTCTGGGAAGGATTCCTTTATTAGAGTGGCAGTGCCAGCAGCGTACCCTATTTCGGAAAACGAGAAGAGTCGAGTGCAGGCCAAACCATAGGTTACGACGGGAAGAGAAAGTCACTTTTCCTTCTTCTTGGCCGTCGTAACTTATGGTCTGAACCAAGGCTAGAACGTAGCGTTTGGCCCGACTTCTGAATAGTGGTAGTATCGCGGCTACTAGGCATGGATACCCCTCATTCTCACTCTAGGGAGGTCCTTTTCGCACCTCATCTCGGCCCGTGGCTTAAAGATTTATAAGGTCAGTGATTCAGTCAGAACGAAACCGACGCAAAGCAGTGCGCGGAGGCGGCATATTAGCAAGGACACCGATGCGAAAAAGCCTGAAAAATATGAAATCCGAAGGTCTCAAGAATCAGGTATCCTTTTTCTCTTCACCACTGTCAATCTACAACAATAGTAGATTCCCTTGCGATTTTTAGTCTTCCGGAAGAAAGCTGGCTCACTAAGTTGCCGACCAGCTTGCAATCACTGAAATCTTCGTGGTCACTCTCGTCGAGGGTTGTATGAAATTCCGTGACATGATTACCGCCCAACAACCACTTTCAATACTTACTTCGCTTCGCTTAATTGTTGGAAAGCACTTCGAAGTGAAGTGTATCGATGTTACCGAGGCCGAGCTTCAGAGTTCACTTCTCGGAATTCTATTGCATTTAAGCTACGACAACCAACTACATATAAATGATGATTGTGCTTGTATGAAACTTTGAAATTCAGATCAGAAGAACCCAGATGCGAAGGAGGGAATGGGGGAGACGATTCTTGTCTCACGTAAGCTTCGTTTCACTTCAATCTCGTTAGAAGAAAGAACTTCCTACAGACAGTCGCTAAAATTTATAGAACTTGTGGAAATTCCCGTACCCTTCTGTACGTGAAGTATCCCCGTATTCCAATTCAACCAATCTATCGTTCGAATATGCCATTAAGTATGGGTGCAGAGAAATAGGTAAAATGAGCTGACGAGGACAGATCTCGCTATCGTATTAAGCATATAATAAGTTTCGGTTAGGAGCCATGATTTTGTACTCCTACTGACTAGTAAAGGGCGCCATTCGTTACGGGTCCCACTGCCTCCTGCTACAGTGAACCCTTCAATGTGGAGCGGGGAATCCGTGAGCCAGGGGCAGTGTCGCCAGTCTAGGGGGGGGGGGGTGAGGGCAGTCACTTGACATGCGTGAGAAGCTGGAATGTTCGAATTCAACCGCGATCGCTTGGGATCCCCGCGGGTTAAGGCAGTGGGTCCCGCAACGAATGGCGCCCTATACTAGTCAGTAGGAGTACCAAATCATTATTCCTGTCGGTTAAGGGTTCACCGCTTTTGACAATATTCTTTCATTTTCTCTCCTCGCAGAATATTTCGCATTCCCACTCCCAAATTTGAGTGGGATTACCACATCAACACAAATCTAATCCTTGCCTTTTATGGCTTGCCCATCTTCATAATGCAGCTGTGCTGAATCATGAGGCTGGGACTGAGTGCGGAAGAAGAGTGTGTGGGAGAGAGCGGAAGAGATGGGCGGGCACACACAGCAGCTTGCTGCGGACGAGAAAAATTGAAGATGTTTTTTGAAAGGACACAACTACGCCTCTGCCGGGGGAATCGTTCACGCGATTTCTGCATGGGCTTAGTTCTAACAAGTACAGCGCCCTTGCCTGGTGATCTCAAGTGACAAAGCTGAAATATACTTTGTGCTTGCGAACCGCACCCCTTCCTCGGGCAAAAATTCGCTCCAGTGACCTAATCGTGGGTTGTGCCCAGAGTCAACCCTGCGTTGCGCAGTTCTCAACGGCCACGTTGCGCAGTTTCGCCCGATTAGACTCTCGCGCGAACATTCACACTCGCATGCTCGAGCCGTCTGTGTCTCCGCCCATACAGCGTGCGTTGAGGATCTCTCAACGTGCCGTTGCGAACTGCGCAACGCACGGTTGACTCTGAAGTGCCTCTATGTCAAGAGTGAGTTTGTGGAACAGTCAGAGTTGCAGTCCACTTCTCGTTTACTTGTTCAAACACAACTAGGAACTAGAAGACGCGCTACGGCCCTATGAGAAATTGGAACAGCTTTGTTTGCCAAAAGTGGAGCAAACTCAACAGCTTCACAGTGTCTACCAAACATTGGACACCCTAATTCATTCTCACGATCACCCAAGGCTTTGGGTCTATCAACTTCACCATCACTCCTAGTTGGTCCGCTAACCTCACAATAATCTTCGGCAGAATCGTTCTAACTTAGCCAAATTAATTTACTGAAATTTTTTCTTTTATCAAAATATGGGACACCCTGGCAGATGAAGTTTGCACGGCGGATTCGGGGACTTCTCTTTTTACTTCTCCTTTCGTACTTTATTCTGGCATCATTCCTCTTCACGGCAAGCGTTTTTCTGAAGAAGACCAAGCACAGAAATGGGATCCCCATGCTTCTGAACCTTCCTATTGCGAAATAGCACGTCAACCAGTCATGCGTCCTCGTAGGTTTGGAGAGAAATCCGAAATCCTGATGCTAAGCTCTCGACCTTGACTGAGGGTTGTTCTCAATCGCTACTTGTTCAAAACAGGAGAAGAATAGCCTTAATTTTCTCAAATTATTCTTTTCGTACTACTCAACTTTACGCATAAATGATCTTCCCGATCTTAAAAAAGACCAATCGGTGTCTCATTCAATCAATGAGCACACGACACGAAAGAAGATGAAGAAGGCTTTGTATATGAATGCGGGTTCAGGTTGGCAAGGTTGGAATTCCCACTCAAAAAAGGATCACAACATGATACTTTGAACCCACACAGACAGTGCTTTCGTGGAAATGGTAAAATTAGTATAAAAGACTTTCTGTGGAAATTTTCTCTCATAGACCAACTCGACTGGCAGAAAGAAGCTTATCTTCCTCACGGTAGTCTTGGTTTTGGAGAATTAGTCAGCCGCGATGTGCTCGAGAACACGGAAGATGTTTCACAAAGGTCTGAGGTGTTCAAAAGAGGACATGAGTTGGGCTTTCCAACATTAGGTACCAACTACGATATAATCAGTGCCATTGAACGTCGCGCTACAACCTTTCGACACGTCGACTGTTGCAGGGAGTCCCTGACAGCTTCCATCTGGAAAAATGCTAACGCACACGCTTTGGGCGATTCATCGGCTACGTATATCCTCAGACTCATACTTATGGAACCGTATCCTGGTTCACGGTCTCTACGTCATTGAACAAAAGAGTAATATCACAAGTGACCTAACACGTCGGTGAAATTTGCTAGTTGGGAACAGATCTGCAAGACATGTATCCAGACCCCATTCATAGCATGCCAAACAGAATGGCTCAACTTACTAGAAACTTTGGTAGGCCTACCGATTTCAGATTCTGAAGATATTGCCGTTTTTCAAAAAGTGTCCACATAATTTTGATACAAAGAAAAAACTTTCCATGAAAAATAGTTCGCTAAGTTAGAACGAAATCTTTTGCCGAAAATATCATTGTAGGTTATCGACCACTAGGAGTTGAATGGTGAAGGTTTCATGACATAAAAGCCTTTAGCTGACCCCTGAGAATCGATTCCAGGGTGTCCACATACTTTTGGTACGCACTGTATTAGGCGCTCCAGCGGAACACAAGCGCCGTATTAGAATGGCCCCAAAAATGGTGCTAACTGATCACCAGATTAATTGACTGTTTTCAGCACCCACTAAACCAGTGCAGCATATCCCAGGAATCGCTTCCGGTATGGACTCTGGTGAGTGGAGGAAATGTAAATGTATCATTTTTCGACGAGGAAAATCTCTTCTAGTACCAGCATCTTTGTCAAACTCTATAGCTTTGAAGTCTACAGTAGGTCTTTGAACAATCCTTTTTGATCTCTATCATCCTCAACCTGAGACACGGCGGTCTTGAATTGGGTTTTTGGTCAACACGCTAAGAGGTCCCATCGTTGCCGTAACCTTCGGTAGTGTACTATACCTGCTGGCGCTTTTGGGCAGTGCAGAAAGCGTTGCTCTCTTATCCTACCCCTACAGAACAGCCATTTCTTTCACGATCATTCGCACTTGTCGTTGAAATGAGTGATTCAGCAAAACCCTCGTCTCGAAGTGCCACCCCACTCAACAGTGCAGAAAATTCTCGTGAGTTTATTTTACTTGTTTACGTTGATCAGTTTGCCTTCAGTTCACGCAAAACACACTTTCAGCGTTCGTAACCCCAGAAACTTCACCTTCAAAATGTAAGTTTGATAAGATCTGAAAAATATTTTCATGTACGTCACAGACATATGCAGCTACATTCAGCCGTGAGTTGGAGCAGCGCATGACTAATAGGCACAAACCATGACCAGTAGTAGCGATTTTTTGCTACTACATTCGCCTGGTGGTCCAGAGTGGTGCCAAGGCAAATAATTCACGCCTATGCCTTGGGGTCAAGGGGCAAAAGACTTGGCTACTTCCTGCTTGTAAAATATTCGCACCTTCGTCAAGCGGTAAGTTCGTGACAATGGTGATAATCTAAGTCCAGCATCTAAGTCCAGCGAGTAGTACTTGTAAAAACGGTCATCTATGAGGGCAGCATTCTTCAGCCTTGCTCTGATATTGGTGCCCTAACTCTTAACGAGGTAGCTGCCAGTTTCTCACCAGTTACAACTCGATGAATCGCCATTGTTCTGATAATGTACCATTAATACCATTTGTATTGGGTTTGTTTCCAGTTACCGACGATACTGCCGTGGAGATAGAGGACAGAAGAGATCAGTTAAAAGATCACGAAGGTGACATGTGCTTCCATTGCGGTATAAGTCTACAATGATTTCAGTTGACTGATACCAAGCCATGCCTTTTCATAATTTCCTACGAAAAGCTACGTTCTGAAACGTAAAATCGTCTACATTAGCTCATCATTCAATGCCAATACATCCGGGCGCAACACCTGCGGCTTACATCAGCGCTATCTTTAGGGGGAAATCCGTTCTAAGGAAAACTTAGTTCTGGATGCGCGACTGCTGTGGACAAAAGCGCAATGGTTAGAAAGCAGGAAACATTCTAGCACTCGCGAATTATCGACGACGCTCGGACGCTATCAGAAAACTGTGGGCAATAATAGTCATAGGCATAGTTATAGGCACATCGTTGTTTCTACGCTCTCACAGACGTCACGTAAAGGAGCTTTTCAATATGTCGCTACTGGGAATGATAGCTGAGTTTAGCATCTCAATCACATGTGACGTCACAAAATACTGTCCCTTAGAGAAACCACCTCGAAAGAGCTAAAAGTTGACCGTGCGATAGAAGGGTTTCCCCTGCTGTTGGGGATTTCCCAAGGGATTTTCTATTTCGTACTGCTTGCCGTATTTACCACCGCGGAGGTGCACAATTTTGAACTGCACAGGCACAAGGGCCATGCTATCAGACGGAACTACCGGAAATGTGATAACGTTATTGTTCTCCGTGACGCCGCTTTGTCGCATGTTCTGAAGTGCTCTCTTCAGAAAGTTATCGAGTGTGAGAGAGGCGCTACCTTATTCAAACTTTTCTTCAGAACTTTCATCTCTATGACAATCTGAATTGTGCCATCGACATTACCTTCCCGGAAAACCGATAATCATTCAAACCTCGTGAATGAGATCTTCAATTTTCGACGCGCAGCCTTCACAGTTTCGGTCTCTCGAAGCTAGAAATCTTCCATATTGTTGGGCACATTTTGCGAACCATTATGGTGAACCTACCATGAATTGAGATACTACTGTAACAGAAATGTGGGTGTTTCAGAGGAAGGAGAAATTTACCTAAGGATTTTTTCCTCAACTTATATGTATCCGGCTTATCCCTTTGTGCTGATATGGTGTGGGGATCAATCCTCGGAGCTTGGCAAGGAGACCGAATTGAATTTCGTGTCCTAGAAGAGGGATACATAACGTTCCTCATGCGCTAAGTTCAAATTTTTCTTCGTTCGAAAGAACTTGTATAACGTGGCATTGTCCTGATACACACAGTGAACTACGGCAAAAACCAGCATCTAAGGAGTATTCAAATTGTTTGCTATGACAACTTGCATTTGATCTTACCAATGTATCAAACGCTCCTGTAAGTGATCATTAGATCTTACCATTAGATTCGATCACAAAGCCCGTATCATACTGTATAATACCGAAATTCTCTATGTTATTCATTCCATTCCTTATTATCGTGAATCTGCTCTCGTTCCTACAGCAACAAAAAACATTTCTTGGCTGGTATGAATTGAGTAAGTTATTGAATATCCCTAAACATAATTTTCTGGAGTGGGTAAACTAGCTAATCGTCTATGCTTCGAATCATAATATGTACGTGCCGGCCATTTGGATTCTGGCAGGCTTCTGAATTCCTTGATGCTCGGAGGTCCATTCATACGACACGAAGTCTAAGTTACTGAGAAATTCCGTTTCGTCGTTGAGTCACTGCACTAGCGGCACTGTTTAGAATGAGACCCATAACTTCGGAGTCTCCAGGATTTCCGCCATGGTACGTAGTGTAAGCAAAAAAAGGTCACGAGGATATGAGGAATGATTCCAATAAAATAAGTTGTCATGCTTTTGAACACAAATGGATAGATATGATGCACTACTTCCATACGACCTCTGGAATAGTATACAATTGGATGACAGTTCCTCCGGAGGACTAGAAGGAGTTCATGAAGTAACACTTAGCTCATAGTAGACTATTATGCAATTTAGTTTATCCGTATCCTTATGCACAAGTAAGCTAGTCGTATAGGCAGACCAACTATTCCAATTTTCACGCCCTGGAAACTTGTGCAGAGCTTGAGTGTTATGAGTTTCGCACTTCCACAATTTGGTGAGCTATTTGGAACAAATGCGCTATATACAATGCTTACAGTTTGCAAGCTAGATAGGATTGTCGCCAGATGCACTAGACTTCTACATATTCCGTTCCGCAAATATCGTCTGAGCCGAGTAGGCAAATCCATAATCCATCGATTCTGAGTGTATAGAGGGTGGGCGCACACTGAAGAAACACATATACCTAGAGGGTGTGAGTTCCTTCCCTTTTTTAGAAAGAGCAAGCGAAAGTAGTTCAAAGGAGCACAGTGTGATTGAGGGCTGGCTAGAGGCAAAAGCTCTTACATAGCTTTTCTGCCACGCAGGTAAGAAATATAATATTAGGCAAGAAGCAGCGTATTTCAGGTGGCACACATCGGAGACCACCTGGACCGGATCAAGAGCTTCAACTCAAAACAGCAGGTATTCAAAAACAGCGGCTTTTTTTCAATTTTCATCACACTTTGTTTTCAGAGAGCCTTCACGAGAACAACACTGTACCCGTCACGTTGTTTCATCACTACTGCAGAAAACGTTCCAAAGCAAGATTTGAGAAGAACGTTGTTATAAGGAGCCTCAGACACAGAGAAATCCAGAAATCGATTGAGAGAAACGGCGTCGGAGAGATCGAAGAGCAAGATGCCTATAAAACAGTGACACTGGCGTTCCAGAAGTTCACTATGTCCTTGTAAACATCTTGACTTACCCACAAACTCCTTGTTCACCCTAGTAATAGTCCACCACTGTCGCAAAGTCCGCTTCGTGCACATCCCGACTGCATTCTTTTTCACTTAACGAACTCCCGAATGATCTTTAAGCTATGCCTTGTGCATGCGGCTGCCCATTAGCTCTCCTCAATAGTACACATTTGCTATTCGTTATTGGGTATAATGTGAGTCGTGAGAGCCGTTCCACTAATATCAAATCATGTTCGAAACATTCGAACGGAGCAGTAGCGCTTTCAATCATTAGAGAAAGCCGCTGTGATCGTGTTGCACTGTTGATTTGTGGAACAAGTATAAGGGCGGTAGCGATTACAATCAACATGAGTAGTAATCGCCATCTTAGCCAAGTGAACATGGCTCAACTACAAAATCAGCAGCTCATCAGACGACTAGCCCTAGGGCAAATCCCCGGCTCACATTTTGCTCGAGCTGTTCGTGCCCTCCATCCCCCTCTTTGTCTATGAGTAGCAATCCTATGGTGGTGCCTTCGTGTCCAGAAGAGACTACCAGGTTGAAAATAATGTTCTGAAACACCCCACAGCCCATTTTGAACTTCATTTTTTATCCTTCTTTTGTACTATGATCGATATCATATTGACTAGACAACAGCAACAACCCAAACCTGGGCAATAGGTATGTTGGATTTGTAACAATCAGAAGATTTGTCGAAAGAACTGCGGAAATCAGATCTGAGACCGTTTTCGTTGTCGAGCTTTTTGTTCTCCGTGTGATGCTGAAGTTGTAAAAATCGTGAGGGTTGGCTGGATAGGGCTTTATATTTCTGATCTTTTCAAAGGAATAAGGTAGACTTCTGACGAACAGCTGGCTTCAGGAAAGCGTTCTGCTCTGGATGAAAAGGTGTTGCTAGAAAAGATTCGGGAAATATCAATGAGGCGGTTATCTCGTGATTCCGGTGGGGTTTTCGTATGAGTTTCCGCTCTACTACATGAACTTTGCTTGTGGCTTCTTTCATGAGCACATAAATACGTGAATTTCACTGATAATCGACAGCATGTTGTGCTAGACTTTTCAGGGCCTAAGTACGCTACAGAGAAAGTGGAGCGGAAGTCTCCGTTCGAACTACGTAAGATTTTAAGCTCTGTATGAATTCTCACCAAAATGACACCTTTCTGTTACTCGTTGGAAGCAAACTCATTCCATCCTAACTACTTGAGCTGAGCAATCTATTCTTCGCGTAGGCATGCTTGCGTTCAAGCGCAAATGGCGTGGCGAAGGACTGGTTCCAATAAGGGCGTTGGCGTATGGGCTTGCTGCTGCAGGTCGTGCTTACGCGGCCGAGAGGTCCTGGCGGTTGACGGAAGACACATGTTGTGAACTTATAGCCCAAAACTCTTGAAATGAAATCTGTGTTGCATTAGGAAACCGTAGCCTAAGCGTCAGCCAGCGAAACCTAAAGGCGTCCTCGGCCGAGCTAATATCATTAATTTGTTTGAAAATGATGATATAGCTGCCAATACGGTGGAGAGAAAATAGGAAGAAGCACCAGAGTTACTAATAAGGGCCAATTCTTGAAGACTAAAGAGTTAAGAGATTCTGTGGGTCGAATAGAAAACATGGATGGAAAAAGATATTACGTATTTAACGTAGTGCTACTTCTATACGGAACTCCTGCTGCTGTGATATCGTTTACACGACCCCGCACCAATGGGGGGGGGTAACAGTACGTCGATAATGAAAATCTGAATGACTCACATGAAAAACAAAAAAGTAAGCAAAGGGCCATTGCTCCATTTATTCGCGCATTTCAGTAGTAGCCGCTACGCCTGATCCACGTTGCGTGTCATGGGGTGTGCTCCATGACACGCAAAATGGATCACACTTACCTCTTCCATTACCTCACGTTAGTCCTCATCAGCGCTCAAGGCTCGCGTTGTGAGGTCCTAGCGCCACTGTTGCACAGTTTTGGGCCGCTGCAACGGAACACGTGTGATTGCGTTATACGCTATCCTGCACACAGATAGATTATTCGACAAGCATCAGA